TCATATTTATTAATTAAATATCATTTACAGGAATAATAATTAATTCCTTAACAAGCAGGAATAATAATTCATTAGATTTCAAGGATTCTCCAATTTATCAATTAACTTTTCAAGCTTGAAATAACTATTAAAGTATCGTGTAATTATTATTATTAAGCACGATTTCTGCCGAAGACGTACAGTCCGATCCAGAATGTCGTGTATACTGCCGAGGGACGTGCGGTGCGATCCATAGATAAATCTATCATGCCGAGGCATTCGGCCCGCTCCACAAANATATCAATTAATATTAATTAAATAAAGAATACAATTTACACAAGTAATTTATGCTTTGAGTCCTAAACTACCCGGACTTTAGCATTAATAGTAGCTACGCACGGACTCTCGTCATCTCGTGCGCACGTAGCCCCCACAATTAGCAATAATTATTCAATTTAATCCCTATGGGGTAATTTCCCCCTCACAAGGTGGGGAGTTCTTGGAGGGAAGGATGCCGAGGGTCTATTGAAAACAGCATCTCTGCCTCATGGTAGGGGTAAGATCTGCGTACACACTACCCTCCCCAGACCCACTAGTGGGATTATACTGGGTTGTTGTTATTGTTGTTGTTGTAAGATTAGACAAATGACTTACCTCGTCTCAAAGTCCATTTTCCGATTGCCACATCGCGTAAAATTCTCGATTCGATGCCGAAAAATCCGAAACTATCCAAAAGTTATATAAAATAATTAATATATGTTCAATAATTCGAAATTCATCTATTAAATAAATTACCCTATCCAAAATGGTAAAATTTCTAAAATTCACCCCGGGCCCACGTGCTCGGATTCTGGAAATTTTTGGATGAAAACGTTACCCATAATCTCAAGAACTTAAATATATAATTTCTACCCAATTTCATAACTATTTTAGTGGTTAAAATCTCACTTTTATAAAAATCTAGGTTTTTCATCTAAATCTTTGATTTCTAAAATTTACTAGCTATAATCTACTTATAATCCATGTGTTTAACTCAAGGGGTGTAGAATTAACTTACCTCCAAGTTGTTAGTTGAAATCTCCTCTCAAAAAGCTCCAAAATCGCTCAAGAATGGAAGAAAATGGGCTCAAAATGACTGAGCCCCGATTTTTAACACATTCTGCCCAACAGTCATTTTCGCATCTGCGGACGACTACCGCACATGCAGCTTTCGCACCTGCGGAAATTCCTCGTAGGTGCGAGTTCCACTCGCCTGGGCTAAGGTCGTATTTGCGCACACAGCTTCGCACCTGCGCGTTCCCAGGTGCACAAATCATCTGCATCTTCGGTCGATTACCCCTTCCCTTTTCCGCTTCTGCGCACAAAAACTCGCATCTGCGAGGTTCGCTCCTGCGAGCTACTGCCGCACCTGCGAGTGTCGCACCTGCGGCTGGCCAAGCGCAGGTGCAATTCTGACAGTAGCTGGGAGCTTTAGTTTTGGTTCCCAACTTCCAACTTGGTCCGAGCCTCGTCTGGTTGACACTCGGGGCCCCCAGGACCCCGCCCGAACATACCAACAAGTTTGAAATCATAAAACGGACTCGCTCGAACTCACGAAACGTGTAAAACAACATCAAATCTATGAATCACACCTCAAACCAAATTGATTCAAACTTAAGAATTTCAAGTTATTCAATTTACTTCCAATGCGCCGAAATATACTTAAACTACTCGGAATGACACGAAATTTTGCGTGCAAGTCTTAAATCACTATACGGAACTATTCCCAAACTCGAAATTCCAAACAGACTTCAATTACTCAAAAACCTACCCCAAACCAAATTTAAAGAATTTTAAACCTTCAAATAGTTGATTTTTACTATTAAGCGTCAAAATGCTCCCGGGTTATCCAAAATCTGATTCGGACATACGCCCAAGTCCAAAATCATCATACGAACCTATTGGAACCGTCAAATCCCAATTCCGGGGTCGTTTTCTCAAAATATTGACCGAAGTCAAACTTGTCCATTTAAAGCTAATTTAAGAAATCAAGTGTTCCGATTTCAACTCACACACTTTTAAATCCCGAACCAACCATCCCCGTGAGTCATAAATTAATAAAAGCATGTTCGGGGAGTTTTATTTTAGGGAATGAGTTTCTAAAAATCAAAATGACCGGTTGGGTCATTACAATTTGTTTGGTACTAATTTTCTATGTTAAGTGGAATAATATAATATTAGCACATGAGAAAAGAAGAATATTATTTGGCCACGGCTACGACCACGAACAAGGGCCACGACCTTTTTCACGCTTAGCATAATGGGAATACATCTCATTCATGTCGGGCAATGGTGTAGACCCAATGGGTCAATTATCGTAATTTCTCATGAGCAGGTCATTGTTTCGTTCAGCCACAAGGAGAAGAGGAATCAACTCAAAGTACTTCTTGAAACCTTTCTCTTGGTACTGCCGTTGCAAAACCATATTGGAGGCATGAAACGTTGTGAACATTATTTTTCAAGAATATCATAGTCACTTATACTATCTCCACAGAGTTTCAATTTAGAACAATTCTGAACATCGCAAAATTATATTCAGAAACAGACTTAAAGTTTTGGAGCCTCAGATGGGCCCAATCATATCGTGCTTGTGGAAGAGTGAACAACTTTAAGTTGTTATATCTTTCCTTTAAGCCATTCCACAAAATAAGTGAATCCTTGACTGTGAGATATTCTATTTTCAACCCTTCATCCAGATGATGGCGCAAGAAAATCAAGGGCACAGTCTTGGGTATATGCTTTATTTCTATCTTTAATGGCGTCTACAAGACCCATTACATCTAAATGGATTTAAGCATCCAACACCTATGTCATATAGTTCTTTCCCGAAATTTTAAGGGCAACGCACTTTCTTTTCATAATATCAGTCATAATTAAAATATACCTTAGTCTTCTCAAAGAGCTTCTTGAGACGGTAGAGTCTCGTGCTGATAACGTGTTATGAAATAAAAGCAATTTAGTAAAACATGAACAAGAAATGGAGATAGAGAGAAGGAAAAGATTTTATTTCTTCCTCAATTGTGTGTTCTTTCCATCTATTACAATGCTTTTATATAGGCATAAAAAATGAAGAAATAGGTCATTGAATATGTCATTAAGCATTTGAGAGGAAGATCATGGAGGAAGATAGGCATCCACCATAATTTGATTTTTCTTATAACATATACCCTACTTTTGAATAAAGGTGAAATCAAAATTGTACCTTTTGTGCATTCAAAATACGTCAAAATACCTTAAACCCCCCCTAAACTTGGCACGCATTATTGGTTATATTCTTGAACTGTCTATGATCTTAATTACCCCCTTATACTTGGTTATTTGATAGTTGTTACCCCCTTGGACGATCTCATCCCAGGAAAGTGGCATGCACTCGCCTTCCACATGGATTTTTTTGTCTATGTGGCATTTCTTTTTGAAAAATAAAATATATTTTTTACCTTTTTAAGTATGTTACCTTTTTAGATAATTTTTTTCGAATAAAATTTATAATAAAACTTGGCTAAAACTACAATTTTAGTTATTCTTTTTTGAATTTGACCTGAAAATAAAGATTTATACAATTGAAATAAATAGTCAAGGCATCTAAAAAGTTATAAAAAATACATAGTTTGAACTTTATTATTTTGGCTATAATTTTTTATATAGCTCTAAATTATGGTGCTCTATATATATAAATTTTGTTTTTTTACAGATTTTACGTGAAAAAGTAAAAATACATAGTTGAAATAAATAGTCAATGCATCAAAAGAATAAATAAAAAAAATTTCCAATTGCAAGTTCATTATTTTGGTTATACTTTTTTATTTGATAAAAAATAATGGAGCTGTAGCCAATTATTTTTTATTGATCTGACTCGAAAATAAAAATACACAATTAAAATAAATAGAAATTATATATAAAGAAAAAAAAAACAGGAAATATACACAAATGGTACTCTATTATTTTTGCTAGAAGTTTTTATTTGGCTAAAATGATAGAGTTCCAACTAAACGTTTTATAAATTCGGCCAAAAACAAAAAAAGAAATATGCACTTGGAACAAATAAACATTATATCTTAGAAGAAATTAAAAAGAATAAAAGTTAGAGTAAAGTTCACATTGTATGTTAAGATGAAGCAAGAAGATATATATATTTGTAACAAATAAATCATTATATATGATATATGACAATTAAAAGTTAAAAAATAACCTATTTGGAAGCTGATTTTTTAATTTTTCTTTACTCTTACACGCTTAAAAGAGAGTGTGCCCACACTCTTTGCCACATCAACGTCCAGGAGTTAATGACTCTCAAAATATCAAGTTCGGGAGTAATTAAGACCACGAATAGTTTAGGAATGTAACTAATAATCTGTTCCGCTTCAAAATATAGATCGGATCATCTGGTAAAAGAATTGACATCTCTTGGCATAGCAGTGATTCTGAGATCTAAGACAGGTAGGGGCTATGAATGGTGTCACACAATATGTATAACAGAAGTTAGGTATAGAATAGACTGTTCCCCCAATCTGCATATATTTTCTTAATCACTCCATATAAAAAATTTACTGCCTCAACAAATTCAGATTCATATTATATAAAATTCTTGTAAACAAAGTGCTTCGTATTAAGACTAGAACCTTAAATTTTTTGATTAAGAAAACAATACTGTCCTTAATTCCTATCAACATATTATGTTGAAACAGCCTCAATAATGTAGGACAATTACTAGCTTAGGCCACAATAATACTTACAATTTTAATGGCTGACTAAATTAAGAAATCTTCACAAGCATGGTTTCCAACGGCTAGTGATAATAATTGATGAATCTTGAAACCTGAAAGAGTTCAAAAAAATTATGAAGAGGACTCTAAAAAGGTAAGGTCAAAATAGTACTTTCACATAAGGAGGTCTCAAAAAACAAGGCACTACCAACAACTGCAAAATTTCTCTTTTTTCTCTTTCCTTTTTTCAGAAAAATTCATGGCTACACACACAGTCCATTTTTCTCTCTCTTTAGAAAAATACCCTCTTTCTCTCTCCAAAAAACCATATCATTGAGTCATCACACTTGCCCTTTTCTTCTTTTATGTATGTCTATGTCTGCTATAAGTTTTATAACTATATATTAGTACTATGTCTGTACTAAATGTATTTATCCTTTTCCTTGTTCCTATCTTCAGCAGAGGTCACAAAGGAAGATGTAAGAAGAAAACACACCCGCCCACCAAAAATCAACTCAAAAATCAACTCTTTTTTCTTCTCTGTAATGGCCCAGCTGGACCAAAATTTATATAACCAAAGAGGAGAAGTATTCATATGTCCTGTTAACTAAAAACCCACCTCATATACACACCATTTAACCATAAAGACACAATCTTTCCATAAATACCCTTCTGCAACACCCCTAAAAAGATCCAATCTTTCATCACTTCACACACACTAAAAACAAAAACAGCAATGTATTACTACTATATTTTTCTTCTCCATTTATGTGGGCTTTTTGGGGTTTGTCTTTCTTTGTCAAGACCACCTCTCTCTTTTCCTTTCTTTCCTTATTACTACTCCTTTTATTTGTTGTATTATTATTGTTTCCTCTCTTTTCTCTCTCTTCTGCCGCCGCCCGGCTTGCCTCTTCTTCATATTTTCCAAGATCTGATCTTTTTGTGATCTGATGTCTAAGAAAATGAAAAGGGTGTCTTTAGAATCATCATCTTATGGTGTTTTTGAAGACACAAAGGCTAGGTTGAAGCATCAGACACTATTTCAGGACTATCAAGAGCTCCACAAGGTAAAAAAATAATCTTTTCTTGGGGTTGTTTGATACTTTTGTTTTGAAGATCTGTGCCTTTTCTTTTATTAGTGGTTTTTGTTGTGTTTTTTTCCCTTGCTTAATTTGATGACTTTTGGTGTAGGAACATGTTTGGTGTTTGATCTGTATCATGTTAATGATCCATAGAGTTGTTATTTGCTGTCTCTTTGTTCAATTTTTGGATAAAAGTTACCCTTTTAGCTCTCCCTTATTGAGGCTTTTGCCATGATTTAGTGTCTCCATTGGTTAAATCTATTTGTGCTTTTGTCCTCAGAAGTTATTAGGAGTTCTCTCTAGAACAAGTTTTAGCTTCTTTTTGTAATCAGAAATTCCGATGTCCAAGAGGTCTGGTGAAACTGGATAGATTAGGGCGTCCCTCGGCCCTTCACCGCTTAAATACGAGCTTTTGTCTGTGGTAGGATTCAAACCCACGTGTGCCCAACTCACACGCACACACTTAAATACGAGTTTTTGTCTATGGTAGGATTCAAACCCGTGACGTGCATCTAACTCACACATCACACTACTAGACCAAAGTGCTCGGGGCAACAATTTTCTATGGTAGGATTCGGACCCGAGACATGCGCCTAACTCTCACACCCACTTAAATACAAGCTTTTGTGTATGGTGGGATTCGAATTAGTAACATGGGTCTAACCCACACATCATGCTCTGCAGTGTTACCACTAGAGTAAATGCCTTGGGGCAACAATTCTTAGCTTGTTTCCATTATAGTCATGCTATACTTTGAACTGCAAGATGATAGAAAGCTGTTTTAGATTTTGGAATTGAGTAAAATAAAAGTAATGTGTATTTGTGATTAATCAGTTTGCTTTACATGTAACCTACAATATACAGGAAACTGATGGCATGAGGCACAAATTGGAGGATTCAAAACTGAGGAAACTAAGATTACTAGCTGAAATTCGGTAAGTTTGTTTAACTTTATAAAAAACGTTTTCATATTTACTTGATATAGTTTCATTTAATTTAAGTAAAGATTTTCTTGAATTCAGTATTTCGGCCTTAGTCTTCGAAACTATATAATCTTGGATAATATAATTAAGGAAAAAGAATCTGCTGGTAATTATGTTAAGAGCTATTATCTTCAGCATCTTAGTATTCATTCAATTGATAATGTATATGCTGATTCCAGTGTTTTTCAAAACGCTTGAGTTTCTTTTCTAGTATTTGAATCTAAGTGCAGTTTTTCTCCGCATAATTGTGCAGTTTCTTACGCCAGAGGCGCGTGTATCTATTGCAGTTGAAGTCCTTAAGTCGTCCACAAGGGCAACAGCTAGTACCAATGCCAAATCCAGAAATTTACGGCAAAAACAGGTTGAAGGATAAAGTCTACAGCAAAAAGGAGGCCAAGCTAAACAAACTGACCCCACTTCCTGGCCCGAAACAGAACGGAAGGATACAGGTCGCTTCCAAGAAGACACCTGATATTCACGTGAGGCAAAAGCACAAATTAGGCGATGGAAAAGATGATGTTTTGCATAATGCAGTTTTAGGTTTGAACCCTAAAGCAAGAGTATATAGTGGAAAGGATGTTCCACCCCGAAAAGGAGCTTTAGCTGTTGATTTGAAGCAGAACGAGAGATTATACATAGCGAACTGTGCTGTCTTATGGAGGAGCAGCACACCTGCTTTTGATTTAAATCAGGAAACTGATCATAGTGGCAAAGAAGCTGCATTGCCTACTCGTGCTCCAGTCTTCGATTTGAATGAAATCTCGGTAAGTATCAAAATAAACATCTAGTACACTTCTCATTTATTTTGTGAGTTATACGTCTTACATCATTTACCTCTAGACTTTCTAATTTTACAGATGGGGGAAGAGGAAACACAAGAAAATTTTGAGCAGGTGCAGTTTGAGGAGTCAAGGAGAATTATCCGAAACCCCAATGATGATCAGCACAATGATTTGAAGTTATTGATTTGCAGAAATGTTGGAGAAGGCACTTCTCAGGTGGGAAAGCGAAAATTATCATGGCAAGACCCTGTTGCTTTGCGGGTTTGACCTGTCTTTAACTATTCAGTTAAACATGGTAAGAAAAGTTTGATCGAGCGCTGAGCATTGTTGAACTTGAACTAGCATTACTAGGTCAATTGTTCGGTTGACATGTAGGCTTATGCTTTTCCTTTTTTTGTGTAAAGGAAGTTCTTATACATGTAATACGTGCACACACTATATGTTGATTGCGAGCAACGAGATATAGTCAGTATAATTCGTTCTCTACATAAAATATCATATGTTCTTCAGCAGTTTTCTGTACAAGCAAGGGATTTGGTTTTCTCTGTTTGTTGGATTCCATATTGATGACATGGGAACTCAAACTTAGGTGTACTTTGTTATTCTTTCTCCACTTCTGCTGCCTGGAATAGTTTACTAAGTTCTTTTTGGATTCTCATCATCGTCGAGACGAGCTCTTCAAACAGGTTCCTTGAGATTAGTTCTGATACCACCTGGTGCAGGAAAAGGAGAATGGGATGTGAGGTAGATGAATTTGAGCGCCTAAGATGGTAGTAAAGGGCAGCCTGGTGTACTAAGCTCCCGCTATGCGCGGGGTCTGGGGAAGGGCCGGACCACAAGGGTTTATTGTACGCAGCCTTACCCTACATTTCTGCAAGAGGCTGTTTTCCCTGCTCGAACCCGTGACCTCCTGGTCACATGATAATAACTTTACCGGTTACGCCAATGCTCCCCTGGTATTATCTAATGAATATTTTTCAATTATCCAGAAGCAATCCTACTCTAATGGAAGAGCTTGTTTTTGGAAGCTGAAAAGAAAATGAAAGCTCTTTTTATTGAAATGATATTGGCCAATTGTCAAGGTTGTTTTCTAGTTGCTCCTATAGACAAGAACTGCATGAACTTCACTTATTTATCTGGGTTTTAGATGGTGTTTGAAAGGACAAGTGCTTATGAGAATGATCCTTGTATATGGACAAGTGCTTATGAGAATGATCCTTGTGATTGGAGTCCAATGGTGTATTTTCAGCCTATGAAGGAGGAAGACCATGAAGTTCATATTGCAGGTGTGCGCAAGCTGGTTCGGGACCACCGTCATTAGAAAAAATAGATTGGATAATTAAATACAATCAAACCTCTTTATAATATCATCACATATAAAAGTCATTCACTATAAGGATTTGTTTGGTATGAAGGAAAATGTTTTCATGTTTTATCACTTATTTTCCCTTATTTGGTTGGTGAGTGAAAATATTTTTCGGAAAATATTTTTAAGTGTTTGGTTAAACAGTAGAAAATATTTTTTTATGCTACCCTCCTCATCCCTTTCCCCCAAGTCCCCTTGTTTCCTTGCTTCCCTCCCCCAAATACCCAACGTTTTTAAGACTCTATTTTTTTCAACAATTTAATTATTCTTCTAAAAATTCACACAAACCCAAAGGAACTAATGTGTTGCTTTACATTTTTACGTAAAACAACATTGAAATTTATGTTCCATTACTATAAAGAAAATATTATTTTTTTGGTTTAAAAGAAAGTACTCTTTCTACAATATGAAAATAAAGTAATCATTTTATTGGAATAAAAGAAAATACTTTTTCTACATCATGAAAAGAAAATGCTCATTTTGTTGAAATGAAGAAAAATACTTTTTTTACATCATGAAAAGAAAATACTTTTTTTGTTAAAATAAAAAAAATACTTTTATCATGAAAAAAAAATACTCATTTGTTGAAATAAAAAAAAAACTATCTATAACATGAAAAGAAAGTACTATTAATAATATTTTTATTTAGGGTGGGGGT